AGTTTTCCATCTAACAAAACCCAGCAGATTGCATCAAGTCATTGATTTGCAACATTCACACCTCATATCCTCCCATACCAATTACATTGTCCTAAAAATAGAACATGGTCTGATAGTTTTTACTTCTTGAGTGAAGTGAACCAATAAGTTCTAGCTTTGACTGTGATTCAATAATTTATGAAACGAAATAAGGCACACAGACATCAAACACACCCCCAGCAATCAGTTGATAGAAATGATTGCAAGAAACAATCTAGACTGGATCAAGAAAAGTGTTTGATGAGGATATAACTATGCAAAACTGAATTAATTGCCACGCAGCCTCAACATGCAGTGCCTGGTGTTTTCACAGCTCTTTCCGTTCTGGAGGATATTTCTCCTTTCTATCTGTGTCTTCACCATCTTCCCCGATGAAGACGCTCTTGATCTCAGTTAAAGTCCTCTCTTGACTCTTGACTCTACAAATCTGTTTGATTTTATGTTGAGAATTTATCCAGGTTCCATGTATTTACCGTATTTAATGCCAAAACTATAAGCAACAAACAGCGCTGCATCAGAGGGAGCGCCGAAATGATGGCAGAAAAATCATTCCTACCTTTTTTCTTTTTTTCTTTTTTTATAATGTTTTCGTCAACAGGGAGCTCGCGATGGAAAGCTCTCAGAGTAGAAAGCAAAAAGAAATGGAAGACAGCAGATTGACAGACAAATGGATTGACAGACAGGAGGGAAGTTATTTCAGTCTGGGAGGCTTGTAAATAGTCAGGTTAGCAACCAGGTAAGCTAACTAGCTTAGCTTAACTTTTTAAAACTGTTAGCTTAACTTTTTAAAACTGTTTTCTCTTTACAAACAGATTCTCAAAGTGTCTTTGAAACAAAATTAAAAAAGGGAAACCCTTTGCCAATCTTACATTCAAAACAAATTTAAAATTTAACGTGGTATTTTTGATAACAATAGAAACTTTTGTAAAAGACAGAACCTCTACAGGTTGTTATGAATCATGACTAAAGGTCAAATGCAAAGAAAGGGCTCTTTTTAACAATCGCTGTTCTTAGTGGTGAAATGTTGAGCAAAAATTTGATACCTGTAATTATTTTTAATCTGTTCTATGGTGAGAGCCGACCCTGAAGCTATCGTATCCCCCAGAACCCATCATGCACCAGGGAAACGAGGCGCTCGGAAACATCACCTGGGAAGCTCCGATGATTTTCCTTCAGCTATTTCTAGCTGTAATGAAGCAGATTCATCTTCATTTAACTGAACATTTCAGCCAGCTGGGATCACAATATATATATTTAAAAATAAAAAGGTCAGGGAAGTCCATTGGCTTCTGTACAAGTTTCAGCACACAACAAAATCCTTCATCTTTCCTAATTTGCATCTGAGCTGTTGTGGTGTGAATCTTCTCAATGCCACAGAGTGGGAGGAGAGGGGGAGGCAGAAAATAAATCTCTTTTTTCCCCCTGGTTCCCAGTAATGTTATCTAGCTTCAAAAGCGTGTTGCTGGAGAGACACCATTTTTCTCAATCTGAGCATGTTGAAATGCACAGAAGCCCAGCTTGTTTCTGACGTTAACAGCCTGTGGGAAATGTCTGACCGGGTCCACCTTTGGTCTTTGAAGGAAATGTGCTGAGCTAGCACAAAGGTCTAGTGGGGTTTTTTTTTCTTCTTCTTCTTCTTTGCAACATTCAATCAGCTGCCAGCGCAGGTCCTGACAGGTATCGTGCCTGAATTACAGAGGGACTCGAAGCACTAACATAATTAGATTTAAAGACCATTGAGACTGTTGTTGCTGAGAAATACGAGATCTACATATTTACATTTATTTCTGCCTTTATTAAAACCATAATGTTGAATTTAGCTGGCTTTAATGTCCAGTATATTCTTGCTGGTTTATGTCCTTAACAGATTTGAATAATAAAAAGCTTAAAAAAAGGCCAGACCACCCAACACACACAGCCACCATTTTATTTGTCTCGTTAGGGGGCAGGGGGAGTGAAGCAACATGGAGGACCGTTCCAGTTGATTTTTCAGGTATAGAAGATATTGATCAACCACAAGGAATCTGGGAGAGTCCCTTTGTCTAACCCCAACATGGTTTGCCTTATTTTATAGCCACTTGCCATTAAAATTCTTGAATTGCTCTCATGTTTTGTGAATATGAAGCCGAATTTTGATAAAAACTCATATCTCTGCCTGCCACATTGATTTCTGAAAAGTTTTTATCCATAGGAACTTTGCATAAATATGCCAGAGTTGTTTTAAATATGTCAAACCCACAGGGGGCAGTGTAGCACCAAGCTAAAAGCCTCTCAGCCAATGAGCTTGCTTAAAAACAACCACCACTTCCTGTTAGGAATTGAATTGAGCTAGTGGGTTCATTTTGTGTAGACGGATGTAAAATCTTGAGCTACTTGTATATAAAGTTAATAAAACGCAAGATGATGTCGACTGGGAATCGTGTCAAAGCATGCATATGGATATAATGCCCCATTATTTGTCCGTTGATTGTATTTATGTATTCATGCATATGTGAACATGCAGTTTTCTCAAACAAATGGTTTATTTTGGTAAATAATTGTTTTGAGCAGGACTAAACCATTTTTGTGTGGATGAAAGGTCAAAATGCTTAAAATTGTATTTGTTTTTTCAGATTTCCGGCTATGTACCGACTAGACCGAGACTGACTTCACCTGTTTCAGACTCCAGAGTAGTTAGCATTAAATTTGGTGCCATGAATCCCACCAAAACAAGGAGGTTGACATCACAGGTCAGGGGTCAATTCCTAATCAAGTACTGAGTTCAAGTATCTTGGTGTCTTGTTCTGTAATGATGGTTGGATGGAACAACAGAAAAACAGACATACAGACACAGAGGTGACATGCTTATGTAAATTCAGTTTATTGGTGCAGCACATTTCAACATTATGAAAACACAAAAAGTCCTTTTCAGGCGTTCACACAAACACGAGTGAAGTTGACCGTGGCTGAAAACTCAAATGTTTTGACATTTTGCTCCGCAGCAGTAAAGCAGTGTGTGTGTGTGTGTGTGTGTGTGTGTGTGTGTGTGTGTGTGTGCGTGTGTGTGTGTGTTACAAACTTCCCTCATGATGTTAATCCAGCAAACAGTCTTGCTTATAGAACCCATTAAAGTCTTGTGATGGTTTTGACTGTGACACTGTCAGCATTTTGGGTTTAAAACGTACTTTTTGGGGCTGATTCTGGTAAATTTCTACAAAAAAAAGGCTCCCTTGTTCCTGTAGCCTGAAGATCTCAATTTATGAAGGTCTTCGAGCAACTATTGTTGATTTACCTCAGAAAGTAAGTGAGAATTTTGGATCCTACAGCAGCTCGTCATCCTGAGGATGGATTTAAACACCTTAACTCTCAACAAAACACGAGCAAGAAACGTTGCATTTTTCTGAAATACGCCAACCTATGGAGGAGTTTAAATGTTCAATGGCATTCACTTTTTAGAGCGACTTACTGGAGTAAAATAACATTTAGATAATATTGTAATTTATTAGAACGTACCTTTGTTGCCTGTGGTGAAAATTCAGGCACCAGCTTCAGAGACTCCTTTAGTGATGAAGAACCCTGACCCTCTTAATAACTTTTCTGCTACAACGTGGAAGATTTGATCACCAAATGAATGTTGTTTACCCATTCATACTTAAAATGATTATTATTTGTATTTTTATTAGCTTCAAAACTGTCTGTTTTTTCAGATTGTGCCTTTATGTGGATTCTGCAGTAGTTTAAAGCCAGAAACCTCCTTTCACAGGAGAAAATCAGTGTAGCTGTTTAAACTTAGCTTTTGCTGCCCCCTGTTGGTTGCTCACTGTCCACAAAAATCTGAAACCTTTAACAAGTGCTGAATGTTTTGTTTTTTGTGTTTTTTTTCGCAGCTCTCGCTGGACAAGCAAAGTTATCAAGTTGTCTAACAAGAAGTCCTTCTGAACCTCATACTGTCTCATTCTGTCTGTGTAAAGTAGAAAGATGTGCATTTCATTCTTTCATGTGTTTTTCTGTTGCAGTGTCAATTTGTTGCCAAAGTGGGAAGAAAAAAAATCTATGAGAAGAATGCCTTGTTTTTCTACTTGATTGTTGTGAAAATTTGCCCATGGCATTTGTTTTTCTTCTTTCAATCAGAGGATTCGTATAAAAAACAAACATGAAACAATAAGACGGAGCAAGAAGAAAGCAGGTCTCTGCCAGAAGCAAACTGCAGGTTTCATTTTTCAGCACTTCTTCAAGAGGAATGACTGATTCGAGTTTAAAACTGCATTATTTATTTGTCCATTAGTTATGGCTGGGTTTTCGGTGAACCACAATAATGGAAGACAGATCTTTTTTTTTTTTTACTTGTAACTCTTTTATTGCAGTAAATCAAATAAACAATTTGAACTGCTAGCTAGCTGACTGAAAGCCCAGGTTTTTTTTCTTTCTTATAAGACAGATAAATTAAATTTTCTATAGAAAGCAGAAAGGTGCTTCCTGCGCCATAAACAAAGTAACTAGTAAATATACTTAGTCAGTTACATTTATTACATTTACCTGTAAAATATATCCTTTGAGAGAGTAGCTTGACTGAGCTGTACTTTTTATTTTTACTTGACTAATGTCATTATATAGTAGTGCTACTCTTACTTCAGTTTAATTTTTGGGTACCTCTTTATTTCTATCCGTATTTAAGCTTTGTTCTCATCTAAGTCTGTGGAATAAAAGTAAAACAAACAGTGCAGAATATTCATCAAATTATTTCATTTGACTAAATCCTACTGGCGCAGAGTTTCGCATCGCAAAGCAGATACAACTGGCACCATCTGTGACTCCAGCTCAGTGTGTGAATGACGCCATGCTTAGGATCACAGACACACTATTATCACTTCACACTGACATCACTCGGTTCTCCGGCGCGCTGCCCCGGGACCCCCCAGTGACCTCCACACGCCACCCACCGCCTGTGCAGTCATTGTGTTCGCTTTTCTGCGTTGAAGCAAAATGGGACAATGTCACCAATCTCTGTGTCCAAACGTGATCCAACAAGGCTGCTGTGACCTGTCTTTTTCCCACTGAACCGGACGGGATGGAAGTTGCTGCGTGATGATAAGAGAGGGCCGGGTGAGGGTCCGCCTGGCACTGGGGTGGAGAATGTAGAGAGGACGCAGAGCGTCGATCGGTGACAACGGTACGGTCAGAAAACTCAAGAGGACGGCCACGTAAGGGGAATTACGTAAATTCTCTACCTCCAGACACATTCAGTCTCTGGCTCTTCAGCTTGGATCAGGATTCTTTCACACTCAACATCTGGCTTTATGTTTTCAACCCGCTGCTGCAGATGAGAAGGCTTCTGGACCACCGCACAGACTCCTTTTAGGAAAAGCTGTTTTTCACTTTAAATGAGCATCATCCTACATAAGGAATAAGCCAAACCCTGGCAACTGGGGAACAAACTATTGTTTGACCAAAGATGAAGAGGGACGGATGACACATGATTGTCAAAAAACTGTGAGTGAGTTGATTTGAAGCAACAGTTATGGTTTAAAATCAACTTTTTTGAGCTTTACATCATGTTATAATGTCATTCCCTCATCGGAGACACACCTGGAGTGTTGCTTTGATTCTTCCACGCATGTTTGCAAAATCTTTTAATCTCCCACAGCAACCATTCAGCTGTGCAAAACTGTTGGTGGGACCTAAGGCCACCTTCAAGGACGACGCTCCTCTTGGACGTACAGCTTCCACTCAGCTCCTTCAGACTAGCCAGCAGCAATTAGCCAACACCTGATGGAACTGCACATGCACTGAGCTCACTGTATGAGCGACTCCTCAGTAAAACAAATGCTATTAAAGTTGTGATGACGTCCTGAAGGTGGAGATTCAGAACGTGAAGTAGTTTCTTAAAGAAATAGAGGCCCAATTTGAAGATGTTAGGTTAAAATCTAATTTCTTTTAAGTCTTATTTGATTTATGTAGCATTTTTATTGAATGTCACTTGATTGTGATATGAGAACAATATAACTGGAAAATACATCATACTACCCCTTTCTTTTTAAACTATTTTCATGAATATGGATCTCTGTCTGGTTAAAGTGTTGCATTCTGAGCATTAATACGGCATCAGTCGCGGCCTGCCATGCCTGAGATGCAGACCCTTTACTACAGCATGCGTCGGCCTCCAAGCCTCTACCTGGACCCCTTGGTCGCGCAGAGGCACATCCTGGAGGAAGAAGTGCAGTTCTGGTGGTTCCGAGACCCCAGGCGGTCCTTGTTTTGCTACTGTGCCTCAGTGGCGCTCATACTGGGACTGGGCCTTGGCGGAGTGGGGCTTCTTTCCACCACTAACAGCCTCTCTGTGGAGTGGCGTCTCGGAGTGGGAACCACGCTCTGCCTCCTGGCCCTCGCCGTTCTCCTCAAGCAGCTGCTGAGCTCCGCCATCCAGGACATGAACTGCGTTCACAGTCGCCGTCAGATCGAGCGGCTGCGGAGCGGAGGGCGGGCTGATCCGGCGCTGATTCTGGCCGTGGGGCTGGCGGTGACGCTTTGCGGGACGGTCCTGCTCTGCGTGGCCGCGGTGGGCGGCCGGAGCCACGACAGGTGGGAAATGTTGGTGTCTGGGGCGGTGCTTGTGGCGGCCGGCGCCGGCATGGGCCTGGCCGTCGTGGGCTACAGTGTGACGGTGCGTCTCAAGAGGAGGAGGGAGCAGAGGATGAGGAGGCTGAGGGTCAGCAGGGCGAGGAGGCTGGGCGGTCAAGGGGTCTGAATGTTCAACGTTTCGCCTCGACAGGCAAGTCAAGCCAGGAGAGACGTGTCTCCCAGCAGGACGAGTCTGATCTGAACCGGCCAAAGGTGCAAAAAATAACACAAAAAACCCTGACCAGAACACAAGGACAAAACACTGAACTGAAATCTGATAAAGGTTCAGTAGCTGCGTTTCCATCAGCCATAAAGTAAAAGCAAATCGAGATCACAAAAACAGGTTTGCTTAATGGAAACACGGCAATATAGAAATAGATGTATTTTGAAAAGCTTTTATCGCATCATGCGAGTCACATGATTAACAGCCAGATGTCTCTACTGATGGAAACGACAAAGAATACGACAGGAAGTGATGGGTGGATGATGTTTTTTTGTTTTTCTTTTTTTCTGGCTCCACCAGAGCTCTCACAGAGATTACATGGTGCATAAAAGGTCATGTGTAGTTCTGTCATGTTTAATCCGTAGCCTTTTCTGTAAAATGTAAGACTTCCCAATTTTTCCCAAAACGAGCCACTCCCAAGAAGAAGGGGCTGATCGCTCCAATGCCAACATCTCCTCTCATTGCTGATTGATGATTAGCATTGGCACCTGTGTGTTTACAACCGTGATTTTTAATCACTTGTCCAGGAACCAGGTTATGTCACGCGTAATTTTAATTTTGTTGTTTATTCAACGGAAACACTGTAGTTCTGAAATTGTTTCCCCCTCAACATCAGCAGAATATAGACAAAGATTTGCCCACATTTATCATAAAAATGCAGCTGCTGAGAGACTTTGTGCAGAATGGAGAGATACCAATAAATCAATAAAAACAAATCCATCTCTCTTTTTGGCTTCTTGATTCCCAGTTGTTGCGAAAGTGGGTATTTGAGAGAAATGGTTCTTCATCCAGTCAATAGTGACCTGATGTTGGTCAGATTTCATCTAGGATCATATACATTTGACCTCTAAAGGTAAAACACACGCAGCAGATTCAACACAGTGATTATATAATAACCAAGTAAGGAAAACTTTGTGTGAAGGTACACAGTAAGGAGGAATATTGCAGTACTCCCTGTTTTATTCTAACCGCAGTTTTTAAAACTGAGGTCATAAAGAAATCTTTATGATTGTGCAATATAAAAGGCAGTGATATATTTGACCTATTGGGGTTAAGAGGACAATTTCCACACAGTTTGAAGGGAGTTTATCTCTGCCAAGTGAAAGATTATTCAGAAATTGAAAGCATTTAGGACATTTGCCAATGAGGGAGTGGACCAAATCTGAAACTTAATGGACCTCAGTTCATATGTTAAATGTGAAAATAATTAAGAGGAAAATGCAAAAAAAAAAAAAAGTGTCAAAAAGGTCAGGGAAAAAAACAAACCCTCTTCATTCCAGCCGCTAAATGATACAGTAGAGCTTTGATTCTCTGGTTTTAATCACAACACAATAACAGTTCAGGATTCACTTTATGTTTTTGTACATTTGAGTTTAGATCCAAATAAGTAGGACAAGAACAGATTATTTTTCACAATGTCCCAATATCTGAAACCCAGAGACGTACTTTCTTCTTAAACATTAAAATGTTTTAAAGTGTTTGTGCTGAATATAATGGAGATTTTTTTGTGTGTGATCTTCAAGGTCTACATAAAACAGAACATATAATGTGAATAAAATAATTTTAACTGAAACATTTTCAAAAACTGCAATCGGAGGTCAGAGTGCGTGCAGGAACAACTGCGAGCTCATCGACTTTATTACTGGACCTTCAGGTAAACATGCCAGTCGTTTGTCATAAAAAAACAAAACTGCCCTTCCCAGTGCGGTGAAGTGTTTGAGACTGGTTTTCTGCAGTGTGCTGTAACGTCACTGAATTGTTTTAAAGCAGCAGTAAAAATATGTTTTTCACATATTTGTTCAAACCGTCACCATGCACTGACCGTGTGTGACGAGCCAAATAATTTCTCGAAAGATCAAATTCCTTCACCTTCTCTGTGCGCTATTGCAGAAATAATCCGCTTCAGGTACAAAATAGGAATTGAAAATCAGAGGAGGGTCTTGGTGATATCAATCAATCCTGTGTATGTGCTGCTAACTGTGCCAATGGCAGAGAGACAACTTAGCATTCCAGTACATCTTTTTATCTGCTTTCATCAGTGGCCATGCTAAATAGCCTTAGCATTCATGAAAGGCTTTGGTGATGGCAAGCACGTACACAAGCATGACTGACAGCGGAAAGACCCTCTTCCTGGCTACTACAAGTAAACATTTTGGTGTTGTTTGAATGTGTCGATCAACTCGATCAGCTTTTTCAACCCTCCAGCGGTTTTAAGAGACGATGTCATTTGGACCCCACCAGCTTTATACTCTGCGCGATCCAGGAGGTTTTCACTGACCCTGCATGCGCTTCTATAAGGTTGCTTTTGTGTGTGTGGTTTTGGGACCTGACGGTCTCACAGGATAACCTTCCCACTTCCCCTCTGTCCAACTTTGACATCTGCCGCGCTTATCCTGAGCTCTGCGCTAAGACCACGGGAGGGTTAAATAATTGAATAACTGTTTGTTTTGTGATGGATGCATCTGTGATTTTCATTTGATAATTTTTCCAAAAAAAATTTTAAATGATACAGACTACTTTTGGTCTGGGAAATAAAGACTTCTCTGATTGCTTGTATGTCTGAGTGGTGTATTTCTGGAGTTAGCACTGGGAGAAGGCAGAGGAATTTGATCATCTTCAGATTATCTGTTTCATACTAAACTGTACTACTAAATTAAAAAAAAATAATAATAATTCTTAGAAAAGTTACATACAGCAGCTTTTATGAGGTGCTTGTTTCAGACTGGGTAAGGTCAAGGACCAAATGAGAATCTCATGGGCTGCAAACAATCATAAAATGGGCAGAAACACAAATATGAAAAAATTCTTTGCAATGGCTCCTAAGAAAATATTAATCAGAGTTATGAAGCAGTAGTTTTTCTACAATTCTGTCTATAATCACCCAATGCTGAAGATCAGATCATCATCAGCATTGTCTTCCAACTCCTCCATTTTGTCCTCCCTGCGTTCTCTCTCCACCCTGTCCTTCTCACTAGTCGGGATGTAGTTGTCCTCGATGAAGCCGTCGTCGTCCTCCTCCACTCCCCTCCCAGTGCCTCCCATCACTCCCATTTGGCCTGACACGTTTGGGTACGAGGTGTCCTCCTGGCCGTACTGGCTGACCCCGTCGGTCTCTTGGAGCAGGGAGTGCCTGTAGCTGGCCAGAAAGCGGTGGAAGAGCTGAAACTTCACCGCCAGCACGACAAAGAGCGAGAGTGAGATGACGGTACCAAGTCCCGCTGCCAGATAGGACCACCGTATGGATGTGTGGCTCCGGTTTGTGGCCACTGTGGAACAACAAGAATACTGAACTTCAAAACTGATATTTAAACTGTTACCATCCGTCCTCAAAAGCAGATTGTTCATTAACAGGAGGACATTGAGTGGTTTGTTACGCACTTGTGACATTGGAGCTAGCGGATGTTTCCTCGTCTGTTTCCACCAGAAGATGCCTCTGGGAACCTCTGAGGTTCTGGTCATCAGGAATAGTTGCAGAACGAGCGTTTGAGAAGAAAACCACACAGAGAAGCATCCATGCAAAGACGCGGCTGCTCCACAGAGCCATTTTGATGTCCTGCCAAACCTAAAGGAAACATAGCAATAAGATATTATTAAAGGCAGATCCTGCTGGAATTGGATTTAATTTTATTTCATAAACACTAATCATGGTCACACAACAAAGTATTTTATTATAATTAGTGTAAAACTATTTTTTGGTGATTGATTGGTCCAGTCGTATAGAAAAACGAGGGATATGACCGATATTGATACCTGATATTTGTCTTTTTTGGATATATCGAATATTGACACCTATTTGACACCTAGAAAGAAACAACCACACCACTGACTTCACCTCTTCAGTTAAACTACCCATAATCCTTGGCTGCATCACCGTCTCATGTCCACCCAAATGCCACGTGACCAACCTCATCCACTCCCACTCCAGACACAAACAGCAGCAGTATGGAAACAAACATCAGTTGTTCGTATCAGTCTATTTTCATTTACCAACACCAACACGTTAAAAAAAAGACATTAACTACTGGAAGTCTCAGTTTCCAAAGCTTTGTATTTATTACAATTACTTAATTTTTTCAAAAATTGGAAATATGTGCTTGCTCTGCATGAATCTATTATTTTCTAATGATCACCATATTTTGTTCAGGTTTCGTTCTATGGCTTACAATACCAGAATTTTATTCTTTTTTATTGTTATTTTACAGTTACTCATAACGTAAGTGGCTTTATTATACTTGTGTATTTTTTTGGCTACATTCCACTTCTACTTAACATACTGAAGTAAAGCTGCTCACACACTTGAGTGTAATTTTTGGCAACTTTACCCCCTTCAGTGTGAAGTTTAACCAATCAGTCTGGAGAATAAATACAATTTGACACCTTGACTTACCTGATCAACAATTCAAAGTTGAAGGAAATGTTAACTAACCGCATTTCTAGCTTCTACACACATTTTGCTCCCTCTCAAAGTCACATGATGTTTCCTTGAAGCTGCCTGACTGTTCTTCAGAAATTTCCATGCTTATCATCCTTAACTTCTCTCTTGTTGCATGTACAGCAGAAATTATAACAATGAGAAAGTAGCTCAAAAACTGAAATAAAAAATCTTACCTGTACAGACGATGTTTCAGAAAGAAGCAAATGCCGCTTTATGTTTCAGTCTTCCTTCCTCTTCCTCACTTTTTTTTTTCTTCTCGAAATAATAAAGTCAGTTGCTGGGCAAAGGTTGCAGAGCAAACCATAATGCCACCCATCTTAAGGCAGACGTTAATCAGTAACTTCATTGCAGTTCTTCCATCTTACAGCTCACTTTGACAGGCTGCGGGTCAAACCAACTGTAATGTTCTCGGTCGGGATGTGAGGGAAATGAGGTCGAAGAGGTCAGGTAAGTGACCTGCTCGCACGAAAAGTGGAACAAGTGAAATTTGCTCGAAGTTGCTGCGTTTGCACTGTCAGGCCACGCGGTGGCAGTGTCGCCACGTCAGATTCCCGTTTTGTCCTTCCTGCGTTGGAAGGAGGTTCCTGTTGTCCAGCAGCCCTGAAAGGTCCAAACTGCTGGCAAACACGGAAAACTCCCCACTTTCAGCGGAAGCGTCTCAGCTTCGAGTCAGAAACATTTTATTCTGATTGGTTGTTGCTTTGTATTCCAGGTTGCATGGCGTAGAGCAACATGGTGTATGGTGTAGATATGAACTGGACACCTGCAGCAGAATCTTTGGCAAATACAAATCTAGAAAGCATGGCTGAAATACTTCAAGTCCTTCACACACACACACACACACACACACACACACACACACACACACACACACACACACACACACACACACACGTCAGTTTTTAAAGCTCATGGCATCAACACACACTCCATGGTGTTAGTCAATGTGACCCAAGGCTTCCTCGATCACTAATGAACACTTGGAACACGGGAATGGCGCCTCCAGGTCTCCAAAAGAAATTACAAGGTTTAATTATTGATGCACTTAATTAGCATGTTTACAGCGTGGATTTATGTTTCCAACCCACCATAAAGATTGATGAGACATTTTTTTGAGGGGGAGGTGAAACTGGGGAGACAAACTATGACTTCAAAGTGACAGTCTGTTACGGCCCTGGGCCTTGTGGGTTGCAGGTGCTTTCGTCTGACTTTGTGCTCCTCCCCTTTGCAGGTGTTGCTGGTCCTGATTTGGGGCACGGAGGATTTAAGCCTGGCTGTCTCCACCTTCTGGACCCTAACCCTGACCCATATCCTTCCTTCAGAAGGAACCTGCTTATTTGGAGTCACCTTTCAGAAAATTTAAAGCCAGTGACCGCACATCACTGGCGAGGTCTCCTGCTTTTGTTATGACCTTGAGCCAGCCGTAACACAGCCTGTCAGAGTGCAGCAATCTCTTCTCTTCAAATATAAAAATAAAAATTACAAGGCCACAAGTTACAGTTAAGTTAGTTTAATTGGATAACATTTTTCGACAATGTGTTGAATTTCTAAAAACATACATATAATTTACTTAAGATTGTATTTCCTTTCTTTTAAGTAATATAAATTATGTTAATAATTATATCATTATTACATAGATGTCAGTAATCTCACTTATAGAAGGATCAAAAATACTCAGATTAATCATCTTTTGTTTTTCTATTGTAACGTATGCTTGAAAGATAATTAAAATCACTAACCATAGTTCTCTTAACATTAAACCTTTGAAGATATTTGCCTTAGTTACTGACACGAAATCAAACATTTACACATCTCTTAGCTGAGATGTATGAAATTTGTGTAATAAGTATTCAAGCAACTTCTATTTGCTCTGATCAGGTGTCTGTGCTCTGGTATTCATGCCCGTCGAACTTTTAGCCTGTCTAACCACAGACCTCAAAATGATTGACTGCGATTTTATGCGAGAGAGACCAACCCCAAGTGATTCTGAAGTGGAAGGAAAATTACATATGATTAGGAAACATTTTCATCCCCACCTACATACCAAAACCTTTGTCCATCCTTCTTATGTAGAAATGACGCAACTTCCATCAGTCTGACGGAGAACGTTTGTTTTGTCTTCTGAAGGAACCTGCTTATTTGGAGGAACCCTTCAGAAAATCAAGAGCTCCTGCAGCAGCTTCCTTCCACTTTCAAAGTTGCAAACTGCTTCGTGTCGCCGACGTCTCGGGTTGTAACCTGACATATTGTGGAGAGAGTTCAACTGGTAGAAATGTGTAATTAAACCCGTTTGGATTCTGTTATCCTTTTTCTTTCCTACAGCCTGTCAGCGACTTTCCTTTCATGCAAGAGTCGACATTTAATTGCTCAGCACCAAAGATTTTAAGGAACGTTGATTTCAAAGACTGCTCTTCTATTTGATGGACAGGGAAGATGAACATTAAGAGACTAAATTATGAAGCTAAGGTTTTTTTTTTTAATTCAAAATGTCAACTTTTCTAGCTTAAACTTAATGTTATTCACATCCCTGCTGCGTTACATTTGCAGTAATTGTCCTGTTTGTTGCTGCTGAGTAATGAGACAGGAATCTCTTAAAAGACAAGAGGGGATGTTTCTGACACGATTCATCAGGATCAGAGGCATATGATGGAAGTGTGATGAGGCGTAAAGAAAAACAATATAACAGCTTTTTCTTGAACTACTGATATAATTTGCATATTTACTTTGCCATTCATTTCAATGAGATTTATCAGTTCAAGACCCAAGGCGTTACATCCCAGCCCGACTGTTTTTCAAATCACAATATTTCACTCAGGTTGAATAGTAAACAAATTATAACTTAACATGTCATAAATCTGTATTTCAGGTTGGGGTTGAGTGTCAGGACCAGGGTTAGTTGTAGGAGCTGTCCTAATCATATGGTGAAGGGCCGACTGTACAAATTAGCTGGAGTGCGTCCTGCCCTGCCCTGACACGCTGTTAAAATCCAGTCATCAACCAATAAAGTGTTGAGCATGTTTGGCTCTGAGAGGGGAAACGACCTGACTGTCTGAACTTGGTAAGGAAACAAATTACAGAGAAAGACATTGATAGAAAAGAAGAAGGATAAATAAATATTGTACATAGAGGGATGGATAGATCAATTTTTTCTTCCTTAGGGAAGCTCTGTTGAATAGACATACACAAGATGTTCAAGTATTTCTTTAATAACTATTTTGTTTGTGGTAATGATCTGATGTAGGAGTGTCTGTTGAAACTTGGTCTGACTATTAGAGTACAGCCAAAGTTACTGGAGCTCCACAAGGGCGTCTTGTGCCACTTTCCAGTGGTTAGTTGCTCTTAGACAGGTTAGTGTGTGATTCGGCTCGGGTCTAGTGCAGTGGGGGCAGATTATCCATATTATAGTCTGAAGCTCATTTCTCTGCTGATTTGCAGTGTCACTCAGCAAAGGAGAACCTTGAGGTTCTGGTTCTGATGGACAATAACCGAAAAGAGAGATGTAACTTCTAGACTAGCAAAACAACCCCCTACAAATGACCATGAAATACTCCTACGTCAGATGGGCACCGGAAGTAAGACCAATAATTGTTTCCCCAGTGTGGCTCTCAGGAATAAGGTGGATAGAATGTTTGGTTCCAACAGTATCAATGACATCATCAGTGATGTCATAACTCTCTGACACCACAAAGGAGTCTCTCTCTTAAATGTAGCTCACAGAGAGCGTTTTGTCAGACCTGTTCCTCAATTCCATTGTGGCAGATCACTCTACAAAGCACGTTCAAAAGTCATTGAAAAAGTAGCATATCGATTCTAGATATCGCCTTTCAGAGCAAGAACATCGACATGAAGCAGCAACAGCTTGCATGTAAGCATGAAGCTTTTCCATCGAAGCTTTCATGGGTCGACATAGTGGACCTCAACATTGAAGTCGACTACGACGCTGTCGTTTTCCCTTTTGAGGGTGACAGCGACACCCCCTTTGAGCCGGAAGATGTACCATCAAAGATCCAGGGGGATTCAAGTCCTTCCGGCCACTTTGACAATCCAACATCTTCAGAAGTCCAGCAGGAAGCAACTCGCCCTGGCTTCGAGATCACCCCCTCGGTGGAAGTCGAGGACAAGACAAGCCAACGCGTCACTGACCTGACAAAGCAGGTGGACGATCTTAAGAAACAATTGCAGAGTAAGACCTTTGACCTCCAGGAAGAACGAGACCGCAGAATTGCGTGTCAGGCTGAAGTGAAATCACAGCAGGAGGAGATTCGAAGGCTGCAAGAATTGTTACAAAAAGAACGTCACCAGCAAGTCAAACGAGATCATGACAGGAAGGTGGCAGAGACGACAGGTGGCTCAAGGGCTTCTTGCTCTACGAAAGTTACGGCTGACAGGAACCCTTCAACAGCTGGACCACTACAAGAGGCAGGCTGAAAAATGCGCCGCCCACAATAAAGGCCTCATTGAGGTAATGGTTGAGGAGTATAGAGTCAGACTGCAATATGAGGAGCAGCTAAAAAGACACGCTGAGCAAGCGACCAAATTTATAGAACGGAGGAAATGGTGAAGGCTACAAGGTCAGATTGCCGACTGAAGAGTAAGTTAAACTTGCTCTGGAAAATGACCATCCCAGAGTCTTCAGCCAACCAAAGGCCCCTGGTCCCACAGGAGACCAAGGAAAGGCAGACCTTGAATCATCCGGGGGTCTCCATCCACAGCCTGGCTCGTCCTTTGCATCAGCTAACACCCAGGTTGCAAACAGAGGAGTCCACGCAAACCCAGACCTCTCCACAAACATTGAGGTCCGAGGAAAGACCGACGTCGATGCAACCAACCTCTACTGGTTGCACGGAGGGCCTCCGCGTTGGCGTTCGTATGAAGGGCAAGCTGTGCCCAGCTCGGCCTTTGCGTCGACCCACACCTGGGTGGAATAACTGAGGTCAGTACCACCTGACCTAGGTAAATTACTTTACCTAGGGCCCTAGGTCAGACCCACCTGACCTAGGTAACCTGCGTTACCTAGGGCCCTAGCTCAGACCCACCTGACCTAGGTAACCTGCATTACCTAGGGCCCTAGCTCAGACCCTAGGTAATGCAGGTTTTGCTAAAATATTTCTTAAAAGTGTCTGACAGTAGATATGTTTCTAATGTGTTGAATGTGTCTGAGCACATTCAACACATTAGACTACTAGTCTATTGCAGCTATACAATTCGCAGAAATACAACCAACATTGTTGAATGATTGTATATCATCAATTAGCT